TGAACTCAGTGAAAGAATCAACCCTAAATGTCTTTAATCAAATGAAATATCGAACCTCTTTACGGATATTTGTTTTACAGAAAGATCTCCAAAAAGTGCACTCTTCATTTCCTCAAAATCTTTGGTAAATGATATTATTTTTGTTAGGTTGTGCGGTGCAAATCGTTGCAACGAACTTCAGAGGCCGTACGAAAGAAAAATCCCGCAAAAGAGGTGGAGCTGTGCTTGCGCGGAGGGCAGAGGTTTTCTTCTTTTTTCTCCGTTGTACTGCGTTATAAGATTGTTAGTTTGAAAACTATGGTATAATCTCGTAACTACGTAGACGCGAGAGGTGCTTGATGTTGGCTATTTCGCCCTAGTACTTTTTAAGACACCCTATGATTTTTATGCTCAAAATTCTTGGCAACTTTAGCAAGTAAAAATTATATCTTGACCTAATTGAAAGATGAAACGAGTAATACGCTTAGAGGCTGTCGTAATCTATACTATGTAAATGGTTCTAGTCTTAGAGTGAAATCAGCGGAGCAACTCTCCATTGCCTCCCCCTGTGCAGCAAGAGAGGGGATCAAAATCTCCTCGTCTCAGGAGTAAGGCATGTTGTAGGCACAATTAGATTTGGACCTTTATCAAACACCTTTTTGTTTGCTACTCAAAGTTTCATTCTTTGCCTTTTCACTTGATCATCATTCAAGCTACTTATACGAAGGATTTAGATCGAATGATGATCAGTAATAAAGAGGCAAGAATTGAGTCTATGAGCAATACTGCTACAACAGCATATCAAATTATCTGCTGTTAGCAATGTTGCTCGATTACAAACATACTTCGCAGAGAGTCTAACGTTTTCGAATAGTATCTTGAAAATCCAACACTTTTTCAAACGCTTACATGTTCACTACTAATTTTATGCCTTCTTAAAAGATATCGGCAGGAGTAACCTTCTGCGGACCCTTTTCATGCACAGATAACATCCTCTCTCCTGAGACCCATCCCCTTGTGCACATAGGGACGAGGAAAGGATGGAAGCACAGTTTGAATACATAAATGGATAAAACCGCTCCCCTCCCCCGAAAGGAATGTTCATGCATAGGCCGCTGATTCCAAAGTATTCAACCTTCATCGGAAGTTTTGTAAATAATCAAAGTGTCCTTATTGGTGAGGCACACGTGAAGTTTCATAATCTTCCCAGTACGTCGGAAGAAGCTTCTCTGAAAATTTATGACCCTAGAATACTGCATTTTTTTAGCAATCGTAAATTGTCTGTTACTTACCTTTTTCTTGAAACAGCATTGAATCACCTCATCTAGTACAAGATTAGGAATGCTGGATGGAAGACAAGTGGTCTGAAAGTTATGGACAATGACGCGGAGTTAGCCACTTGCAATTTTCTTGCAACCAGCGCTCTCTCCATCAGGTAAATAGGTCAGGGTTTACTGAGCTGTAAGTTTGGATGCTAATATTTTCTTGCATATGTAATACACTCAATTTTTTGCTTTCATCAGCATCAAAGGATACTATCACTAGTAGAGATGGTAGAAGAATAAATGTAGACATTTCCTAATGAACAGCTTGCTGCTGTTGCGGTGCAATTACGCACAGAAAAGTTTTAGATGGGCATTGTTGGCAATAAAGCACAGCTCACATACATATTGCGGCTCTAGCAATTCTAAAGAAGTTTCGTAGGAGTAAGACGCTCAGCCTTTCAAGAGTGAAGATTTCAAATAATAGCGGTTCCCATGCCAAAGATTGCGAAAGACAGCAAAGCAAGAAAAATTCTCAAGGAGTTTCACTTTGACACCTTCACTAGTATTAGGTCTCTTTCTTATATTATATTCAAATAACTTCTATTTTCAAAATTACTTCGACTTTCCTGAGCTTACAATTCACAGCTGACTAAGCACGAGAAGTACGATTAAATCCTCTAAGATGCGATGATTTTCAGCTGCTTCTTGCGCCCCCCTGAGAAGCAGCCTGACGCTGGAATCGACAGGCATTATTTATGCCCCATGAAGCATCGAACCCGCGACTTCGTCGAAATGAGATCTTGAAAACGAAAAGCACTAAACACTCGGCTAGATCTGCCTGTGCGGCATTAGCCATGTACACGAAATGAAGAACACAAGCTTAGTATCATGGAGACAAGAACGCTGCAGTGGACATTGTGTATCACCTTGTTTGGATCATGTCTGTAATGAGACAGTTTGAGCTAGGACGAGAGATGCTCTCATCGCCTGGAAGATGCATTAGAAACGACTGTCATGTTACGATTATGTGAGTACAAGAGATGAGACCACTTCAAAAGTGTCAATGTCTCTGGAGGTCGCTGAAATTAAGACCACGAGGAAACAATGAGGTGAATGGACAGAGTTGGAGCCGACTTAAGAACTTATGGGAGAAAACATCATGCCCAAAATCGAGATTGCTGGAGACGCTTACCCGCACAGCAACTCCTGGGTAAACTGGGAAATGCGAAGATAGAAAAATGTGGTATTTGTTTCGGGTATATATTTTAATTCAATATCGATAGGCCCAAACGTGTCATACTTATATTTCGGGACGGACTGGGCGGGTAGTGTAAGTTGCATTGCGCCTTAGTTTGTAGCCTACCGTTCTTGACTTTCTTTCAGTAATTTTATCTGCCTAGTCAGTTCATTTTGGGAGGGGGGCACAGCCTATATCCGCCATCGGATATGAATACGATCACGTGAACGATAGTTCCCTAATGGATGCAGAGTGAAGCGCAGTAGTTGCTCATATAGACTAGCAGGCGCAATCAGAGCAAGCTAATATTTGTAGGAAATGTGCGCATTAATGATTTCTTGCACTACAGGAACGAAAAAACTTTTAGGCCATATAACGTTACATCGCTCTTCTGTATTCAGGTGCAGGTAACCAATACCGCCGGCTCATGTTGATACCGAGTAGAGAGATACTTGAATTACACTCGTAACTTCTTGGCACTTTCACTCTTTTTCACATTTCCTTTTGGACCATAAACAAAAGGGCCCCTATGACTAAGCACACACCATACTTGCTGAAAATCAGTTTAATCACATTTTCCAGAAATTGTCGCTCTTTGCTATAAGACCATCCAATAATCGGAAGCGGATCTGCCAAATAAAAATGGTCATGATGGTCTGCCGCCTCCTCGTGGCGTGGGTAACTCTTGTCAAACTGAGAAGTACGAAGGAGGGCTACCTCTAGCAGAGTCGTCCAAGTTGAGAAAAAGTTCGACGTTTCTGGTTCTCCGGATGCCCAGCATAGAGCAGGCCATGCCAAAAGCCCCACCGTCTGGCTGATCAAGTCGTTAGGTGACAAGCTTTCACCACCTTCAATCGCTGAATGTGGACCACTGCTGAGTTTGGTTATATTTTATTGTCTGTACAGCATGTAATAGGAAAAGAAGCCCTGCGCACTGGATCATATCTCAGGCTTCGGATGTCATCAAGACCAGTGTCAGATTGCCATGAATTTCGAACCAAATGGACACGTCAACGACTCGCCATGGGGATTGTCTTTGCTCTGCACCTACGCTAGGACAATCTCCATCATCGCTGATCTTCACGCCCTTCTCGAAGCTGCAGGGCGCACCAACTACCACGAAATCGCCTTGCAGGAAACAAAGTCCAGGAAGACGGATGTGAGGGATGGCACACTCATCATTCGTGGTGAGATGGTTCCATCATGGAACGTTGGAGGCGTTGGATTTGTCGTACACCTAACTGTTGTCCATCTTGTCGATTCGCATGAGACCCTATCACCTTGCCTGTCTATACTTCGACTTCGTCCTCTGCATCGAAAAACATCACGACCATCAACTGCTATTCTCCAACAACAGCAGTTAATGGCTTGGAACTTTATGCATTTCATGAGGGTTTGGAAGATGTCATCCGCTGAGAGAAGTCCCATACAAATTTGTTGTGGGTGACTTCAACGCGAAAATCGGGATTTCAGAAGAAGGGGAGCATAGGATCGGGAGATTTTGATCAGGACTCCGGAATGAGAATGGTAACCATCCTTTTCTCTTATCCACAGCACGACTTTTTCATGGCAATCTTCATGAAGAACACCGGCGGTGGACATGGGAGTCACCTAACGGTACGACTTTGAGATCGACCACATTCTCAATAAGCGAATGTGGTGCTTACTGAACTCTCATTGGTACCATCCTCAACAGTGGT